TAGTTCTTTGATCCATTTAGGTTTTAGTTTAGTGCATGGTGATAAATATGGGTCTAGCTTCAATCTTCTGCATGTGGGTAGCCAATTTCCCAGAATCATTTTATAAAGAGGTTAATTCCACCACCACCACCACCCCCAATAGCACTGCAGCATATAGTAAATGGGCTTTGTGGGACATTGAAGAACCACATGGAACACAGAGCCACTACCCCTAGCCCCGACTTCCCACAGAGTTATATTTCTCCTGTTGCTAAAGTCTGTGGGCTCTGGAATTAAATGGGCAAATGTTTAAACCCCACTTTCTTCTCTCCTTTGTTATATGACCTTGGTACTCAATTGTCAGGATCCTTCTGCAGAAACATAAGACAACTACCCACTTTATGGGATATGACCAGATTTAGATAAAGCAATGTCTGTAAAATTCTCAATACAGTGCTCTGCACATATCAGTGGCCACTAAGTAAAAACTATTAATATTAATATGTACAATAATAACAGCAGCAAATGTGTTTCATACGGTACTTTGGGGTTTATGCGTAGAGACCTGTGCAAGTATTACTATGTTTTCCATCATTACATTAAGCCCAGCAGAGTGAGCTCTAGAAATTAAGTATAAGAAACAAACCACCTGGAAGTTGTTACCAATTTGTTTTCTTTCCAGTTGCATGCTAGTAGGAAAGTATCTCGAGTCACTTATGTACCCTACAAAAGCTTATTGCCTTATATTTTTAACTGCCTTATATTGTTCCGGTGTTGAGCCATCCTTCCCTCTGACTGCCATCAGAACTTGAGGGCACTTAGAACTGCATCAGTGGGAGATACGGAGAGAACAAATTGTAAATTCCACCCACAAACCAAACTTTCAATTTGACCCAGCAGTTTCAATGACCACACATCCCATTCATTTCTCATCTCTACTTAGAAAGTTACTTCAAGTTTATCTGATGCTTTTGTGGCCCACAGACTCATGGCTGCAGTGGGTAGGTGGTGGGAAGCTTAGGAGAAAGAAGAGTGTTATGGTTTGTGTCTAGTTGTCCTCCCAAAGCCTCATGCAGTCATGGGGTGAGGACTTCTAGAGTTTGTGTTAACTCATGATCCACTGGGATTATGTGTGATCCAAGGCTGGGATTATGGGTTTTAGTACTGCTGGGATTACCCATAGGTGGGTAAATACTGGGAAGTACCCATAGGTGTGAGTACTTGCCCTACCCTGGGGCAGGTAATTTGCATTACAATGTAAGGTGGGAAGAGAAGCTAGCTGCTTGAGCTGCTGCTACCCCTCCCTTGCTCTCTTGCTCTTTGCCGCTGCCATGAAAGGTTGCTTTCTGCTCTGTGCTGCTCTGCGTTGGACCCAGCTGAGTATGGACTGAAGCCTCCAGTAACTGTGAGCTAAATAAACCTTTCCTTCCTTCATTTTGAGTGTCGGGTATTTGTCCCAGCAACGAGAGAAGAGTAACTAAGACAAAGAGCGAGCCCTTTGCTCAGGCCCCCAGATTGGTGAGTGGGGAGGAGCTGGATTCCAGCTTTGACCCAAACTGTCCACATGGACGCAACAGCCTTGCTTATCTAGAAGAGTAATTTTTAATACTCTTTATTGTTATTCTATCCAATCAGAGGTGAACACAATTTTGTTCCAGAAGTCATGAAACAGGGGACAAGAAGAGAATACCACCAGAGAAGAAACCTGAGAATAGAGGAGCTCACTGCTCTAGCCCTCCATGGAAGGAGTCAACATTTTAATTAGTTCATTCTCTTTTTTTTGCAGAACCAGGGTTTGAACTCAGGCCCCTGAACTTGCAGGGCAAGCAGTTATTCTACTGAGCCATCTTCCCAGCCCCTTAATTATTTCATTCTAAACCTACAACCTCAGCTGAAAAACTACAATATTTTGACATGGACTCAGCCACAAACTATCCAAATTACTGTTGGTGAACTGCCTCAGCATTGATCCAAGAGAGTACTAATTTGGATCACTATTGTATCAGCTTCTAGCACGGTGCTTGTTAATTTCTTAAAAAGACCCAATAAATATGTATTGCCGGATTGAGCTTCTTTGACAGAAGAACTGCAAAGTCAGTTGCTCTTTTTTTTACAGCAATGATAAAAGTTTAGACACAACAAAAATGTTTCAAACATTTTTTAAAAATCTAGGGACTGGGGAGATGACTCAGTAGAATAAGTGCTTGCCTGACAATCTCAAGGGCCTGAGTTCAATCCCCAGTTCTGGAAAAAAAAAAAAAAAATCCATGGATATACATTTGGGTGTGGTGGCACAAGCCTATAATCCCAGCACTTGGAAGGCTGAGGCAGGAGGATTGTTGTGAGTTCAAAACCAGCCTACAAAGTGAGCTCAAGCCCAGCTGGAACTGCATAGTGAGACCCTGACTCAGAACGACACACACAAAAATAATCTATAGGTATGAAGAAAAGGCAGTGGGAGAAAGTGTGAGTAAATCTTCAACAAGAGGCCTTTTTACCAAGATGGCACTGAGGATGAAGAAGGAAGCCCCTGCCCCTCCCAAAGCTGAAGCAAAAGCAAAAGCCTTGAAGGCCAAGAAGGCCATGCTGAAAGGCATCCACAGCCACAAAAAGAAGAAGATATGAAGGTCGCCTACCTTCCACTGTCCCAAGACACTATGGCTCCAGGGGCAGCCCAAATACCCTCGAAGAGCGCCCCCAGGAGAAACAAGCCTGACCACTATGCCTTCATCAAGTTCCCCCAACCACAGAGTCAGCCATGAAAAAGATCGAGGACAACAACACACTCGTTTCACTGTGGATGTCAAAGCCAATAAGCACCAAATTAAACAAGCTGTAAAGAAGCTCTATGACATTGGTATTGCCAAGGTCAATATGCTAATCAGGCCTGATGGCAAGAAGAAGGTACATGTTTGACTAGCCCCCAATTTTGATGCATTGCATGTTGCCAACAAAATAGGGATCATCTTAACTGAGTCCAGCTGGATAATTCTAAATATATACTTTTTTTTCTCAGAAAAAAAAAAAATCTGACCTATGCAGTCCAAACCCAGGCACACAGTGTGAGTGAGACTCTCCCTCTTCTGTGCCTTTCGGACCAACCCCCCACACTCCCCCCACCCTCTGGGTGAGTGAGAACTTCTGCCGCGTTCTCGGGCGGACCCCCAGACCCAGCCCTAGCTGAAGCCTGGTGAGTGTGTGGGAGAACTTCCCCTCTCCCCTACTCCCCCTTGTCCCCTTCAGACTCAGCTCAGGCCTG